TTGGGCCTTAGAGATGTTCCTCTAGACTGTGGAGTGGAAGGCGGCAGGACAAAAACCCATTATAGGACAAACAATGGATCTTGTATATTTGTACATTTATTGTAATTAAATATGTAAATTATCTGGACAAAGCTTTTTTGGTTATATTTAAATTTAGTAAAGTAAAAAAAAAAAAAAAATAGTAAATCTGCTCGACTATCTGTGACACACTTTATCATTAAGTCAAATGCTGACTGACGTTTTTCATACTAATTGTAAGGCCATTATTGACATACTGAATTGTCGACGGATTTTTCAGTTATTTATCGATCATGACAAGGAGCACACGGCTGTTGTGACCGGTCGGCAAGGGATGCTCACTCCTCCATGGCACCTGATCCCACCTCTGTTTTTGGAGGTCCGCGTTTACTCTGCTCCCGGTTTGTATTGTTTAAATGAACTTTGAGCTTGAATATATACTGTTCGTTATCTCCATATTTCACAATAAAAACAACTGTTTTTTTTTAAATAATGACGTCAAAAACATATATTATGCAATTAACTTTAACCATCTACCCCTCTTCAAAAAAAAATTTAAGATTTTTTATGAATATGAAAGCTAAAAGTAAGTACTACTGTAACAACACGCGCATTCAAAAGAATACACAAAGCCACAAAAGTCATTTACACGCATCTACACGCTGTACAATTCCAATTGATGTGAGTTGAATGTTTGCATGAAAATAAAGAAATACATGAAGAATAAGTTTTTTGTTGCTCTACATTACATTGCACATTATATATAAAATGTAAAAAAAAAAACCAAAAAAAAAACCATGTCGCCATTATCTTTTCAGCCAAAAGTGCATTAAAATCACTCTCGATATATACTTTAAATTAAAAGGGCCTATACTCTTGTAACAATAGTAATTCAACGTATTTTTTCTGGAGTTATCTATTTTGTATTGAAAAAAAATATATATATACAAAAAATCGTGAATTTATTTATCAAACATGGCTTAACATACATGATTTCAATTAAATCTAAATAGCTTCTTAAAAGATTTTTTCCAAAAAAATTTTCAATCCCATCAAGGAATTAGAAAGCTATTGTACATTAGTGTTAAAAGGAGGCCAAAAAATATTTTTCCTTAGGGAAGTTTAGTAAAAAAGTAAACCTGTTAAGGAAGCTCTTAACACTGCACACTAAAGAATTCAACTTGTAGGGTAGTTTTATGCAGTTATAGAGATCTGCCCTTAGAAGTCAAATAGAAAAAATAGTTATTTACAGTTTATTACACAATTTGTATTAGATTAAAATATTCTCAGCATTATATTAGATATAGTTTAAGAAGTTGAATTCATTGTTTCCATTAATTTTCCCAGTATATGTAAACAACCATGATTTCTGTTCATGAATTGTCTATTGTCTTTGAACATTTTTCAAGCGGAAATAAGGCAGGTATCCTATGTTGAAAATGAACTAAATAGTTTCAATATGCATACCCTTATATAACATATTTCTCTACAAGTCCAAAAAGTACTTTTTGTTAGTGTTTAGAGCTTCCTTAAATAAAATCTCTGTATCTATTTACATTATCTACTACTACACTTTATATTCTGTTAACAATGCAATTACCACACATATTAAATTTTCATACTTAGTTTAGATAATATTTAATTTCAGAGAATATCTAAAAGGGTTTTTAAGAAATTACTAAAAAAAACCCACAATATTATTCCGATATGAGATACACTAATTAATGTACACTGTAAACTGATAATTGCCATCTTTTGAATAGAGTGTCATCAGAACACAATGCCTCTAGGGTTTATCAATTAAAACAATGTATTTTTTATAGAAGTTTTCAAAAACCAGTACCTTTCTCCCGACTGTGTTTATGAAACATTAAAAGAGCTGGTCTAGTTTGAACTGACCATGACAAATCCAAAAGGAATAGAAGACAGGCATTCTACTTTTAGCAAAGCAAAATGTATATACAGTCAAACCCTTTTTTCAAGTTTGTCAATGCATTTATTTTTTTTTTCATAAGGTACTAGATCTAAACAATCGATGTCTTATTGATTTAGATAGTTTTGGGGAGGGGTTAAAGTGCCCCCAAAGTTAAATTCCTTTATTACGTCAATAATCACACAAAAAGTGCATTGTCCATGTTTTTATCTTATTGGCAATTGAAAAGATTGAACTTCTAATGAATAATAAAAAGATATGTAAGTTATTTACGGTGAAATAAATACAAGTACTTGAAATCTGTGTTTTAAATATCATATCTTTTAATGAAGAATGTTAAATTTGAATTAAATTCATCCAGTTTAGTTTTGAAGGGGTGTGCATGTTTATGAAAAGCACGTTTTCTATTTTTATTTTTCAAAACCCCCAAAAGTAATGGTAATGCATTTCTTTATTAAAGTAATGGTAATGTAATGCATTACTTTAAGAAATTAGAGTAATGGTAATGGTAATTTAATGCCCAAATTCTTAAAGTAATGGTAATGTAATGCATTACTTTACAATGTAGTCTGCTTACAAATAGAAGAATATTTAACATTAAGTCACATGTCATAACATTAAGTCATCATTTCGTAAGTTATATGGTCGATACAATGACCTTGTCAGCAAATACAGTCTTTCATTAAGTCAAATTCTGACTGACTTTTTTCATACTAATTATTAGGCCATTGTTTGCACACTGATTTGTCGACGGATTTTCCGTTATTTCCCGATCATGACAAAGAGCACACGGCGGGTGTAACCAGTCGGCAGGGGATGCTCACTTCTCCATGGCACCTGATCCCACCTTTGATATCTTAGAGGTCCGTGTGGCTCCGCTCCTATTTTGTAACGTTTAATGGACTTTTGAGCTCGAGTACTGTTCGTTATGTCAACATATTTCATGCAAACTTCGTACGGTACAATTCTTGCTGCTCATTATAGTCACACAAGTAATATCTATGCTAGAAGATGAGGAGTAAATCATTTTTTTAAACACATTCAAAGCATTTCTAGACAGCTCCTGTAATAATAATTATGACAAATTTACATATATTTCACAATTTAAAGGGATTTTGCTAAGTAAATTCATTTTAACATGTACACAGATTGATAATAATATGCAGAAATAATAGAGATAATTTATTTTAAAGGATTTTTAAAAAGGGCTTGTCCCATGTTTCTCAATTACTTGAAAATAAAAGTGTCTTACGTTCCGAATGATCACAATTTATAAATTTCGTGTTTTTACTGCGGAAATACCGCGGTAATTAAATATTATTATTATACCTCTATTAAGAAAACTCAAATTTGATTGTCTTGTTAGAAGGTTTTTAAACTCAATAATGACTCCAAAAAGTACCGTTTACAGCAATAATGACCTAGGAATCATTGCACGTGAGGTATAATGACCCGGTCATTATAAATAATGACCGCTAAAAATGACCTGTTAATCTAAATTCCATTCAAATTAAAAATTTATGCATACAGTAATGAGTGTTCATTACAAAAAATGCCGTTATAAAAATATGTATAGTCTTTTTATGGTACGGAATACGATTGGCCTTATCGATTGGATTTATCGTTTTCATTGAAACTAATGTTACAATGTCAAATTCAACGAATGCAGACTGGGGCTCTTTTGTACAGTAAAAGCCTGCACCAGATTGCCACTGTACTCTGGAACGGTATTTGTGAATTTTTATAAAAATGCATGATACTGACAATCACAGAGTGTTTTAATAAATCGGCGGTATAAAAACTTACAAGACTTGCAGGCGAAAAGTAAACAACTTCACTAGCTAATCCCGATCCTGATGGAACACTGATAACAGTTCGTAGGTCTAATACACAATTGATTATTTTAGTAATTAAGCCTACAAAAACATATATCGGTATAATAAAACAATTGATTACCCCTTATGAGTTCAAGATGGTGAAATAAGGACCCTCGACCGGGCCCACTCGCTGACCTGACCTAACCTCGGCCGCTACGCGGCCTCGGTCAGGTCTGGTCATCTCTTGGGCCAGGTCTCGGGTCCTTATTTCACCATGTTGACCTCATAAGGAGTAATTAATTGTATATTGATTAAAATAAAAACCCCTCAGTTAAAAATCCAAGTTAATTAGATAGCGATAACGTGACCCTGGTACGGCATAGGCAGCAATGGCTAATCAGCTATTTGAACGTTAATCGTACTAAAATGTACGCGACACAAACTGGATTTTCTGCGTTATGGACGACCATATCACCGATTTTGTCAGTATGAAGTTGAATATTCAACCTTTTATGTTTGAACTGTCAGCAAGAAAAAAAAAAATCCGAAAATTCTGTAAACATGGTAATTTAACCTGTTGACAGTGATGTAGTGTTTGTTTCATTTAAAACTCGTGAAAAAACACATCACTTTAAATCCTGAAATATCTTGAAGCGTCGTCAAAATGCAGTGTTAGTATTCAAAATACCGTATTTATTTTAAAAAAACTCTTTAGTGCAAACACTGAAAAGTTCTTGTTTCATGGCACTTTCATGCAGTTAGAGCGATGTGTCCTTTGATTCAAATTAAATATAGGATGTAATGAACAATTTTCAATTCAAATATTCTTAACAATATATTAGACCAAAACGAAGAAAGTTATACTTTATTTGCATACGTTTTTTCCATATAAGAACATTTTCCTATGGCAGGTACAATGTAAACTATATTGAAAATGATATACTTATAGATATATACTTATAGATCACCTCAATATTTTAACTTTCTGTCATATAATATTCTCAAAGTCAAAAAGAATTTTCAATTAGTATCTAGAAAATCCTTAAAATAAAGCTACAAAGTCCCTGTCTCTTTTAAAAAGTAGCAACAAAATTTATCTTGATTTCATTCTGTGCAAGTATTTTGAAGTATTGTTCGGAGACCATCTCATTGAACATTGATTCAAGCATCCAAGGCCCAAATGACCATGACCTTGGAATTGATTAAGACTATAACAATTTTTATATGGCCAATTCTGCACTGAACAACTGAGATTTCCTTTGACCACAAGGGTCTCAATAAACAAATAAAACAATTTAAAACATTTTTATAGCTTCAAACAATATAGTGAACAGTCAATTCTGATAGTTCGCACTCATTGCTCTCACAGCAAAAGATTCAAAAGGCATGCCAAATAATTCTGAAAATAAAAAAAAAATCTAAAATAAACATAAAATTTCTCTTGAAAGTAAATCTTTATAAGCACTACAAAGAATTGGTTTAATAGTTTTAGCAAAGATACTGCATACAAGGAAATTTTCGCCCTCGTTTTTTTTTTTTTTTTTTTTTTTTTTTTTTTTTTTCCCTTTTGCCCTACTCACAGGTGGGCGAATTTAAAACGGGGCGAACTCTAAGAACACAGTATCATTTCTTAAACAGAACTGTGACAGGGCGAATTTAAAACGGGTGAAAATAACACAGGACGATAATAACCCTATATACAGTACTAAAAAGAAACGTATGAATATATTCGGCAATATTTCAATTACCCTCGTTTTTCTGTTGTGTCTATACACAGCATTTTGCACCGTTCTTTCCGTTTTCGCCCATGAGCTAGACGGTTTCTTTCTAAACCATTCTGTTGGCCCCTTTTTGACCCTCTTGAAGCCCTTTCTGTGCAAGGCTTCATGAGCCGCTGATTCTGCTCCGTTCATTTCCCAGGCTGAGAACGACCTTTTCAATGTAGTGCTTGGTCTCGTTCTCCTTATTTGTTGAAGTCGTCGTCTAGGTTTTCTTGAGCTTCCAACTTTGAAGTTATTTCCCCTCGCCCTCATCAAATAGACTTTTCCGATGCCACGATGCCGCCCTGAAGCCATTTCGATCTATAAACAAAATTATCAAAATGAATCTGTATAAAAAAAGACATTTAGGGGCAAAATACCATATTGGTTGACTACCATTGTCTTCACATGATTCACTTAAGCAATTTATTTACTCAATGCTGAGTCAAGGAAAAATTGCTTATCAATACTGATACAAGCATATCAACTGCATTTTATAAGTCTTTTGTTTCTGCAGAAAATTTGCCCTCTGGTAAGTCTCAAAAATCTTTCTTACATGTAAAACTCTTCTCTAATGCAGGGATCAGTAAACACATCAAACTCGGTATTCTTTACAAATCAATGATTACGTAATGCTTTGAGAAATTGTTGTTTTGTTGTTTCATGAAGATCTGGAAGAATTCTCCCAATCATTAAACAGAAAACTCAAATCATATTGTAGCCAACCCTAATTCTCCTTGGTCATGATAAAAAAATCTTGAAATGCCAATACTTTTTTCGCTTATCAGTTTACGAATTGTAAATCTAAAACACTGGAAATAACAAATTAAAGGGATATTTTTAAGCCGCGACAACAAAATGAACAACTTGAATCTACAACTAATCTGCACAGTGTTGCCTGTCGACGCCTTTTGCAGCTGTTAGCAATGATTTTGTACAATTTTTTAAAGTAAAGATTTTGAATTCTATATATGTAACTGTATGGCCTTATCCTAGCAATCAGAACCAAATTTTCAACAAAACGTAATATAGTTTTCATGAGCGTACGTATATTCGCTACTTATTAGATTACTGTAACTTTTGTGTTATGAAGATCTTTCAGCATTGAACCATTTCCCACAAAAAAGTAAATCAAATCCAGCACAGAACCATAATAAAATAACCTATTTTGAATTTCTTTATCTGAACAAATGCATTTGATTTTGTTTGGTTGCGTAGGAATTTTTTAGATTTTATTCAAAAATGGATTATGTAAATATACAATTATTGCACTAGATCTTTATAACTAAAGTACTCTTTACTTACGCTTCTGTAAATCCGATTACTTTGTCAACCTCTTTTCTTTTGATATCTAAACCTATCTCGTTTGGATATTATACAAGATTATTTAAAACTATACGTAATTTCTAAAAAAATAAACCTTTAAATGGGAAATCCGTGACTTAGTGCTATTAATATGCATTATCATGTATATTATGCTTTCATTTTGCCCTGTAGTTTATAATAAGAAAATCCATAGGCATTGTTGAATGTGTTTAATGTCACAATTTAATAATTTAATTAAGCAATATTCATGAAGTGCATTTATATCTCAATAACTCAGGGAAAAACTTTATTGTATAACAATCTATCCAACTTTTCTATTCCATATAATAATACAAAATTTTCACTGTTCCAGGCAATCTCTAAATCGCTTTTACACTAAAAACGAAAAAAGTAATGAAATGTGATTGATTTTTATTGAAATGTTTTGATTTACTTCCATTTAGGAGGGAAGTTGTAGCAAGACCTGTATTTTTGAAATTGATCATTATGCCATACTTATTACATGTATGTGAACTTAATTTAAAAAGCTATATTTTGATTAAATGTGGCATGTATTTCTAAGAAAGGACTGAGAAGGCTTTGCAGACACCAGTAATACTTTTTCTTACATAGTAATACTATATGTTTTTGAAATAGAGGAATTGATGCCAAATAATTCAAATAATTATACCATAGGCTGTGGTTTAGAAAAGGAGTATCATGTTTTGCTTGTTCATGTAGTAATATATTTATGAAATAGAAAATATGTGATGCATATAAATATACATGCATACCATATCATATTATATGCAGTTGCTGTGATACGGTAATGATCATGAATGTTGAGTGTGTGTGTATTTGTATTTGAAATGTGTTTTTAACTTGGGTCAATTTTTAAGAGCTACAATTCTAAATTTCGTTTAAAAGCTTTAAAATGGACATTTTTGTTTAAAAAAGAAGAAGTCAATTCAAAGGGTAAATAAATCTTAACTAAATTGTATTAGCTATATAAAATACTTAGAGTTGAATTTTTCTTCAGCAACGACTCCAAACTTAGTGAAATAAGATTTTTATTGTGATATACCTACTCCACTGAGATTTCTATTTCTTTAACTAAAATACGGACAAGGGATGTACAGTGTAATTTTATGTTGTAAATGAACACTCCATTTCGTATTGTCAATGTCAATTTCAGCTCCCCAACAAAATATTTTAAAGAGACACATATGGATTTGATTTAAATATGAACCATAAACTTAAACTTTTTTAGATTCTTTCGGAAAACGAATTTTGGAAAATTCACGAAAAAAGAATTTTTGAAAGTTTTTTAAAAACATTATTCTTTCTTTTTTTAATACTTTTTTTTTGAAATGTCTGAAAATATTTTAGGATTAAACAAATATCTAAATATAAAACTGGGTTTCCCCTAAAATACAAAAATATTTTAAGTCAGTTTTCAGAAAATACAATCTTTTTATATGATCAATTTACAGAATTTGATACCCATACGAATGTTTTTATGTCAAAGTTCGCTGAATCATGAAAAAAAATTATGCAAATCTGTATTATATTACGTATGCCTCTATGTTTATTCAGAAACGTTTGTCGGCGTCTGTTCTTTTAACAAAGCATTTACGACAAACGCTATCTAAATTTGATATTGATGCAATTTATAGTTCTATTTATAAATCTTAAATAACAAATTTTTCCATGACATATTTCAGTGATACATATGTTTCCTACTTTTTCGAGAAACCCATTTGTTTATAACAAGACATTCAGTGTAGTTGTGAATGCAAGATGTAAGTCACAAGAAAAGAAAAAAAAACCAATCGTCTCGAGAAATCGGAAAAATTCATTGTTTCACAATCTAGCTATTTTTTTTTCAGAATATTTTTGGCTTTAAACCCAAAAATGTTTTTGTTATTTAACTTATGCAGGCATACCAAAATCCCTTATCTGGTATTACTTAAAGTAAGGTAAAAAAAAAACTGTGATTGATTTCTTATTCCTTTTTAGCTTACCTTAGCTGAAAGCCGTTGTCCGGTGTCGCTGCGTCTGTCCGTCCGTCTGTAATTTTTTCACATTTTCAACTTCTTCTCAAGAACAGAACCACTGGGCCATTTTTAACCAAAGGTGGTACGAAGCATTCCTGGGTAAGGAGATTATAAACTGTTAAACTGGAGGGCAAAGCCCCCTTCCAAGGGGTGATATTCAAGAAAATATATAAAAAAGGATTGGGTCATTAAAAATCTTGTTCTCAAGATCCGCAAGACCAGAAAAGCTGAAACTTAAGTAGACGCCTTCTAAGGTAGTGTAGACTCTAAATTGTTCAAATTATACCCCCGGGGGTAGGATAGGGCCACAATAGGGAATCAACGATTTACATTGAAATATATAGGAAAAATCTTTAAAAATCATCTTCTCAAGAAGCACTGGACAAAAAAAGCTGAAACTTATATGTAAGCATCCTGAGGTAGTGTAGATTCTAAATTGTTCAAATCATGCCCCCAGGGAGGTAGGGCAGGGTCACGACAGGGGATAAAATTTTAACATTGAAATATATTTGAAAAACTTTTTAAAATCTTCTTCTCAAGACCTGCCTGACCAGAAAAGCTGAAACTTATGATGAAGCATCCTCAGGTAGTGTACATTCTAAATTGTTCAAATCATGTCCACTGAGGGTAGAGTGGGGCCACACTAGGGAATCAAAATTTTACATTAAAATATACAGGAAAAATCTCAAGAACCACTGGATCAGAGAAGATGAAATTTATTTGGAAGCATAAGTTAAGTATAAATTGTTCAGATCAAGGTCCCAGGGTAGGGTTAGGCCACAATAGGGAATCGAGGTTTTACATTAAAATATATAGAAATATATATTAGAAAAAACCCTTTTAAAAAGATCCAATGGACTAAAAAAGATGAAATTTAGGTAGAAGTTTCCTGGGGCATTGTAGATTGTAAATTGTGGTCCACGCGGGTGGGGTGGGGTCACAATATGGATTATAAAGGGATTTAAAAAAAAACCCTCCTCTTCGCAAGAGCAAATCCATGATGAATCATTTTAATATGGAAGCATCATGTGGAAGTATAGATTAAGTTTTGTACAAATCATGGCCTCCTGAGTATGGGGTGTAGAGGGTGGGGCCATATAAGGCGATCAAAAAATACAAAGAAATACATGTATATTGTGGAAAAACCTTATGTGGAACAGAATTGCCAAAGTGACTCAGGTGAGCTTTGTGGCCCATTGGCCTTTTGTTTAAATATGATTTTTTTTGTATTTTTGCGAGATTTTGTTGCATAAAAACATAATTTTGTGTTACTTCCGAGATTTACCCACTGGCCATTAAATATCATGCTTTTGGAATTAAAGTTTAAAACCTACAATCTAAATAAGTTTGACTTGTATGTGTATGAAGCAAGTGTGTATGGAGGAGTTAATTCATTTTTTAAAACAAAATTTGTGGTCATTCATTATATCAACATTTATTATTATAATAATCCCAAGTATTATAGTCTGAACTTTGACACGAATCTAAACTGCAACATACTTCAATGAACGTAAGCATACTAGATGATTGATCAGAGTTTAATAAAGTTAACAATAATAATTAGAAAGTCCACAGTATTTTTCAAAATGAAGATTTCAAAAGGGTTAACTTTAGCAATCAAAATCAAAGCATTAAAAAGATAACAACAAAGGGGTTTTAGAGATAATGCTATTTACAACTAATTGTCAACACTATTTTTAAAGGAAACCGAAATAGTGACTTGATAAGAAATTTGAATGTTACTATCGGCATCAAAATATATATTGTAGTAAATCAAGTTTCATATTTTTTACTATTAAAATCAAAAGCTTTGATAATTTCCTAAAACATAGTATACTATTATAAAATGTAGTTTGCAATACTAAATCACAGCTAACTATAGCTATCTATAATAAATAAAAAAAATTCATATTATCTACTAAAATAAATAAAAATTTTAAATATTTTTGTTTTTTGTACAGTAAATATAATCAAAATATCGAAGTTTGTACTATAGTAAACAATATCCCATAGTATTCACAGTAGCAAATCATCGTGAAATACGAAACTACAATAAAATACATTTTACTATTGTATTTTAGTTAAGGTAAACTTGGTATAACATACAACTGATGGATATCTTCATACTGAATAATCGTCTAGTCCCGATTCGAATAATTCTGATGCATACAAATTTAAAAACATGTTATGTATAATGTATAATACGCTATTATAAAGTATCTATATTCTATATAGTGTATTGAAAATGAGTATTGTGTGTTCTTTTTTTTTTAATTTGGATTTGTAAGTGCTCCTTTTTTAATGTCCTCTTGAGCTGTTCAATATATGTCTGTTCAAAAATTAAATTAAGAAGTCAGAGAAGTATATATATATATATATATATATATATATATATATATATATATATATATATATATATATATATATATATATATATATATATATATATATATATATATATATATATATATAAATGGTTCTTATCAACGACAACGCTAAAATCTTAATATTTTTTTTAATGTGTAAGATCTTGTTTTTGAAGTCGTAACTCTTTTATTGACTTTAGTTTATAGACAGCTGTGGCATGATCCTCTGTATGTGATAACGTACTCCAATACAATGTCAATCTCAGTTTTCAATCCATGAATATGAAACTGATATTCTAAATTTACTGTAAATGTGAGTTTTTTTCCTTCTAGGAGAGAGGAAAAGTGTAGCAAAGAACGTTAAGTATGGCATTCTCTTTATGACATTAAATAATGAGTAATAGTTTAGCTTTCCTGTTAGTTGAATTATTTAATTGTCTGAGAATAATTTGTTTAAAAATGAATATCTAAATATATAAAGGATATTCAATGTTTTTTAGTTGAATATGGAGTTTATTTCACGAGTGGGACAGGTTTTTTTTATATTATCACGAGCGACACGAGCTACAGTATAAAAAAAAAAATCCTGTCTCACGAGTGAAATAAATTTCAAATTCAACGTTAACTAAAAAAACATTGAATTTTGACATTAAGATACAGACTGTAGCATAAATTAAAGCACAATAAAAACTAAAGAGAAAAATTGTGTTTATTTAATTAAATACTGTGCAGAAACTTTATTTTTTTCTAACACGGAAAATGATCAAGTTGAAAACAGGAAACATGTCTCATGTCAAACATGTATTACTTTCTGCAAATAAGTATGCAATGTTATCACTTCAATACCATCAAATTAAGGCAAACTTTCTCACAACTTAAAGCAATGGCATGCTCTCGCTATTCTCATTGCAGGAAATACATAAGACATGCCACTTCCAATATTCTCTGAAAATAAGAAAACATATACAGTGAGCAAAAAGGCACAAAAATGGAATTCGTGTTATATTACAAATAAAGGTATTCAACGAAATCTATATGAATGTAATCGACAATATTTCAATTACCTTCTGTTTACTGTTGTGTCGATAAACAGAATTCTGAACAATTTTCTCCGTATTCACCCACGAGGTCGACGGTTTCTTCCTAAACCATTCTGTTGGCCCCCTTTTGACCTTCTTGAAGCCCTTTTTGAGTAAGGCTTTTTGAGCTGCTGACTCTGCTCCATTCATTTCCCAGGCAGAGAACGATCTTTGCAATGTTGTACTTGGTTTCTTTCTTTTTATTTGCTTCAGTCGTTGCTTGGGTTTTCTAGAACTTCCAACTTTGAATTTGTTTCCTTTAGCTTTCATCAAGTAGACATTTCCCAAGCCAAAATGCCGACCGTAAGCCATTTCGATCTATAACAGAAATAGCAATAGGAATTAGCGCAAAAAGATTCAGGGAACAAAATACTCAAATAACGCATTTTTGTTATTATTTGATAACCACTGACACACAAAACAAAAAAAAAACAAAACAAAAAACAAAAAAAACAAAAAACAAAACAAAACAAAACAAAACAAAACAAAACAAACAAAGAAACAAACAAACAAACAAACAAAAACAAAAACAAAAAAACCCACACACACACACATTTAAGTCCTGAGCTGAATCAACGTATTTGTTTCAAAATGAAATTGTAGTCTTATATAAGGATGCCTGATGCCTGCATATCAATATGCATGCTTTATTGTTTATGTAGAAAAAAGTGTCCTTTCTTTCTCTGTAAATTTATATAAAAGTTTCTAAAATTCTTCGTAATGCAGGGATCAATATACAGATCAAACAAGCAAGATTCTTCTTTACAAACCATTATGTACATGATGCTATGTTATTATTTTTTTTGCATCAACAAAGATGTCTTAACACATTTTCCACTTACATTGTACATGTAGAAAGGAAAACTTTGTCTATTTTGCGGAAAACGCTAATACTCAGGGATATAAAATAAATTTATCTTGAAATATCAACACGTACACGCAAATACATCAATTTGACAAGCTGTACATCTGTACATATTCTGTAATTATCGAATTATACGGAATATTTTGTTTCTAATCAAATGTTTAACTTTTCAAATTTAGATATATACTAACCACCAGGTTCATTAAAACTTTAATAAGCATAATAAAATTGGAAAATCAAGTACCAATATTTTTCCTGTAATTTCAAAACACAAATATTGGTACTTGATTTTTACAATGAAATCAATACAAAAACAACTAGATTGAATGAGTTATTGTCATTTATTTGTTTTTATAAATATAATATTAAATGCTGATTTGAAAAAGAGAACATGTATATGGAAAGTTTTCGAAATAAGATAAAAATTGTCCTTGTCTACAGAATGTTGTTCTAAAGAAAGCATATGTGATTAGTGATAACTTGTATCTAGAAGTAGGCAATTACAGTATTTATTTCTGTGCAAATGTTTGTATTATGCTTTTCTGTACGTTGAATTATTTATGTACCATGTTTTAATAAAAGAGAGAAAAAATAATGCTGATTATATTTCCAGAAAAAAATAACAAAAATTGAAAAATAAATCTCATACATTTTAACTATGAGCATATTTTGCTTTCCCATTTACATTTAGTATAAGAGAATGATCTAAACAACTTGATTCTTCAGTAAATATTTATCGTATTACATATTTTCAGTCTGGTAAATATTCTAGGAATACATAATATAAATACAATATTTGTCAGAAAGATAGTGTAATCTACATATCAATGCTTATTATGATGTTTATATTGGTTGAATGATGACGGAATCAAGGCATGTTGATGCTCTCCACTATGCTCACCAACTGGAGGTGCGTTTTCTAATATTTCTTCTATTGAACACTATCTATTGATGTACAAAGCGATGCTTGTCAATAATGTTTACAGCTGTGTACAGTAAGGTTTTGTACAAATTTAAATTATGTTTAAGTAAGGTTTTTGAATTTTCTTTATCTATAAAGCCTCACTCTAGCAATCAGAGCCATAGTTATAACAAAGTGGAATATAGTTTTTATAACGATGTTCGTTACTAATTAGAATACTTTAGCCTTTGTTTTCTGTACATCTTCTATTTTTTTATGTGAGAATTTTTGCTAACATATAAAACTATGACTCTCTAACAATAATAGTAAAGAAAATCTGGGATCTTAATTTGAACCTATTTACACGTAATGATTGCTTATTAATTTGACTGATTTGAAACCTCCTGCTCTGTAAAAGTACTTTTGAATGGTTTTCCTCTGCATTGCTAACCCGAAAAGAACTCATGCACGGTTTTTTTGCAAAGATTCAATGCAAGTTCTCAGATCTTTCTTCAGATAAAGAAAGTTTGCCTTTTCCCTCAGGTCGTATGTATTAAAATCCCTTTTCTCAAAAAGAAGTAAATCAATTCCAGCACAGAATCGAAATAAATTAATAGAGTACTTATTTTAAATTTGAATACCAGAATAAATGCATTGTTTAAGGTTGCGTAATAATTTTAAAGATTTTTTCACAAATGAATTTATTAATATGTAATTATTGCTCTAGAACTTAAATACCTATTACTTACGCTTCTGTTAGTCTGTTAGTCCGATTGCTGTGTCAGTTTCTTTTCTTTTTCTCGTTGGGATATTATACAAAGTTTTTAAAAAAATTGATGTAATTCCCAGTTTCTTTTAATAAATCTTTTAAATGGAAAAACCGGTGACTTGTTGCTATTAATATGCATAATCATGTTTATTATGCTTTCATTGAGCCCAATAGTTCTCTGAGTACTTTTTAGTATAGGTTTTGCAATATAAATGAAGCCGCTTTTACATCTTAATGATTTAGGAAAAAAAACTTTAATGTAATAATTTAACTAATTATCCTTTTACTTGTAATAATTATGACATTTATCCTACAAATTACTTGTGATTACACAATAGTCTGTGATATAGAAAATAAGTGTCATGCTTTGCTTGGCAAATAAGTAAAATAATTATGAATTAAAATATGTGATGCATACCATATTATATACAATATTCTGTGATATAGTTATGAGTGGTGTTTGTATGTGTTTTCAATTTGGGTCAATTTTTAAGAGTTACAATTTTAAATTTCGTATCTGGACTTTAAAATGCAATTTTTCTTCTTTCAGAAAACGATCAGAGGGTATAGAGATCTTAACGAAAAGGTAATAGTTGTATATACAAAGAAACTTAATGATGGGTAGACCAAACAACTTAAACTTATACTTTTCTTCAGCAATTAAATATTTATATTCTTATTGAGGTATTCTTCCTAGACTGAGATTTCTATCTATACACTGTAATTCTCTCTTGTAAGTGACCACTCCATTTCTATATTGTTGTTGTCAATTTCAGCTTACATACAGAATATTTTGAAGAGATCCATATGGATTAACTTTGCTAGATTAGCCATTTACTTATTTTTTTCTAGATTGAATTTCTTTCGAAAAAAGAACAGCACATCCAGGAAAAAGATTTTTGTAAGTAATTTTTATTTTACCTTATGTTTTCTTCTTTCAATATTTTTTAAAATAATCTTTTAGTTTACAATAAATATCTAAATATAAAACTGGGTTTTTCCCCCCAAATACCGAAACATTTCAAGTCTATTTTTGGAGAATGCGACAGTTGTTATAATAAATTTTCAGAATTTGATACCCATGCAAATTTTTTATGTCAAAGCTCTTGAATCATAAAAGTATTATACAAATTTGTCTATATTTATATGTTTATATTTATCATGCATGCTTCTTCGATAAACCCATTTTCTTCCTTAGCTTTGTTGATAACAAGACACTCTCAGAGAAATTTTGAAAGCAAGTTTTAAGTTAAAATAAATGCATCTTGACAAATCAGAAAACTTGATTGTTGAACACAATCTCGCTAATTTCTTTCCTTTTATCCTAGAAAATCCAATTGTTACTTTAAGCAGGCATAATGTAAAACCACAGGCACTAGACGTTACATATTTTTATTATAAAAAAATATTTAACCTCATACCTACCTAATAATTCAAAAGGTACACATCGCCGCCATCTTGATTTTTTTCTAGGTCGGTCACATTAACTTGTATTTTTGTCTGAAACTCCATGAAATAAATTTCCTGCAACCGTATTCTTTCTATTGTCGGTCGATGGAGATCTCAACTTACGGACAGTGAAACCAAAAGGGCGCATCACACTTGCAAAGTATTTTTTGCGAGATATTGTAAAATAATCCATGATTCAGTAAGTGCGACATGTATGTGTATGAAGCAAGTGTGTATGAAGGAGTTAAATCAATAACAGTATCAACTTTTCATTATTTTAAATCAAAGTTCCAGTCACTGCATGTATAATAAAAGTGAATTTTACACACAAATCGAAACTTTAACACTGATAAATCAAAATTCCACAGTATTTTTCAAGATAAATTGATGTCTAAAAGTTTTAACTGAAGTAATCAAAATCAAAGCATACATAAAGATAAGGACAAAGGAGTTGTTTTAGAAATGATACAGAGAACTGAAAATATTGTCTACATTATTTTTAAAGGAAACTTAAATAGTGGTTTGATAAGCAATTTAAACGCCTCTAGCGAAATCAAAATATCTATTGTAGTAAATCAGAGTTTCATATTATTTACTGTAATAAATCGAACTATTATAGTAAGTGCTCTGATAATTTCCTAAAATATAGTATAGTACTGTAAACTGTAGTTTACCTTACTCAATCATAGTTTACTATAGCTAACTATAATACATTGTGTAAATCAAAATTGCATAGTATCTACTAAAATAAATAAAAATATTAAACATTTTACTATAGTAAATCTATTTTTTAAAGATAGAGGTAACGTAGTAGTCAAGTACAAGTATCGAAGTTTGTATTATAATAAATCAAAGTTCCATGGTATTCACAGTAGCAAATCATCGAATGAACTATGACACTGCAGTAAAATATAAATATATATTCTACTATAGTATTTTTATTAAGGCAAACTTGACACGGCATAAAACTGATACAACTGATATATTTTCTTATATCATGATTGCTGCATAGCAAAGTAATCGTCTAGCCCCGATTCGAAAAATTCTGATTAATACAAATTTAGAATGTCAAATGTATAATACGTTATCATAAAATCTCTATATTCTATACATTGTATAGAAAATGAGTTTTGTGAGCTATTACTTTTGATTTCTTCCTGAGCTGTTAAAAAAATTAAAAAGTCGAGGAAGTTGGAGATCTTGAAGAGATTGTTAAAGTTACATTATATATATATATATATATATATATATATATATATATATATATATATATATATATATATATATATATATATATATATATATATATATATATATATATATATATATATATATATATATATATATAAAATTTTAGTTGTAACACGTTATTTGATTGGATAAAAGATTTCGTTTATATCGTATAACATAAGTTGCCTACGTCACAATGAGTTACGTCAAAAACGTATTACTCCGCTTGACGTTTCTTTTAAAATATGCTCAATTTGAAGCCATATTTGGAGGAAAACATTGTCTTATTGTCTACACTGAAATTAAATTATAAGGAATGAAGCTTATTTTAACCTATGTTATACGATATAAAATAACTTGGGGCAGTTTACGCTTTTTATAAACCGCTTCACTGAGCGACCAAAAGCTGGCCTTGATTTCTTTGAGAAAACAATACTATAATTTTTGAAGATTAATATATTTTATTCAAAATCAATCTTTCCATGTTTCCATATTTCATTATGTTTTCGTGAAAAATATCGTTGGGAAGTCCTTTTTCGTCACAAATGTATGATTTCAGAAGTCGGCGCCTACTATGTTCACATGTTCTCTACAAAAGAAAATACCAATGAAAAATCACTTTTCAAGTTTTCAAACAGTTTAAATTATTTTTTAATTTTTTCAAACAGTTTATTCTTTTTAATTTAAACAATATTAATTTATTTTCCTGAAGTAAAATGGAGTTGGGAGCAAGCATGAATGCCTATACAGGAGTACACTGTTGATTTCGATAGCTAAAGGCATGCACGGCTATTTTAATGACATGTGCATTTATTTCATGAAAAGTTTATCTTTCAAATTCTTTTTAACAGTTATTTGATATTGATAATATTATTTGGAATATATTTAGTTCACAATTTGAAATTGGTACATGTATTTATGATTTTTCAACGGTGTGTACAATTTGAGGGACACTACAAGAAGTGGAAAACTACTGTTATTTGATGAAAATAGGATATTCCTATCAAGACGTTGTTAAAAATGTATTTAGCGCAATGTCGAAGTGGACTATGCAGCGTGTGTACACGAAGTGTTTATGCTGATGACGCTCATAAATTTTCGTATATTGTTTCGAATTTTTAAAATTTTCTCAATTATGGTCTATATTTAAATATTATCGCACGAAATTATCAATGTGGCATAAATAAGAAAAAAATAGCGTGTATCCACGAATATGTGATAAAATTTTCAAATTTTATTTAATTTTATTTATTTATTTATTTTTTTGCATACACATCCTGCATACACAATCTATTTACACCTATAACTTCCATGAAATAGTGTGTTTTGTTTTTAATTTTTATACATTTACAAAAGTATGGTTAATATCAAAATAATACCCTACATATTTGGCAGTATTCATTATTACCAAAATTATAGCAGTTGTCTACGAACATTATCGACAACCCTCGTATATCTGAAAATTCAGCTTTTTCTATTACTGAAAGCTCTGAAAATAAATCATCCTTATTTGATATAAAGTGGAAAAATGTCATTTTACACAATTATACGGATCTTATAAGATTTTCAAACAGTTTGCTCATCTACTATGTTACAATGTGCTAAAAATGTATTTACTCACGGTTATGCTGATGAACAGCATCCTGACAACATTGAATTATTTGATCTAATGGTGTGTTATTTAGATTTTGAAACCAGTCTGTGGGATGAATTCCTGACATGATTTTATTTATGCCTTCGAGATTCAACACTGCCTGTTGGGCTGCTGTTTCTGCCGCGTTCATTTCTTCGGCTTTTATGGTTGTAACCAGTTTTGCTGATGGAAAATTTTTTTTAATCTCAGTTAATCTTGCTTCTGGGTTTGTTGAACATCCTATTTTAAAGTTTTGGCCATCGACCATTATATATACATATCCTGGTCCAAAACGGCTACCCATTGCCCCTCCTTGTATTGATGCTGCAGCATACATCTAAAAATTTAATTATAATTTTGAAGCTTCTGGATAAGAATGATTGAAAATTAATGCATAGGTTTTTTACTTTTTGTTTTTTTATTTCGTATCTGAAGATTCTATACACGTGATTATATATTTTAAAAAATGTGCTTTTTGCCACAATCGGAGAAAGTAGAAATTTTTTGTGTCGGCTTCTATTGCCCGAGAGATATCAGTATCAATTTCAGAGCTCTTTCAAGCGTGACCTTTAATTATGACTTGTTTTAATCTTAATACCTGTTATCAATGGAACGATTCATTTTTGTATGCAGAAAATGAAAAATTCAAAAAAAAAAAAAAAAAAAAAAAAAAAAAAAAAAAAAAAATTAATGAATTTCCCTGACTTGATCGTAAAAATAAAAGCAATGTTTATGAGCTTATGGTGAAATGT